TCTTTCCCTCTCCCTCTCTTGCGCAGCTTTCAGATTTGGTGAGCCTTGAATTTCTCTCTCCTCTTGCTAGATGTAGTGAGCCGACATGGCGAGATAGGTAGCGAGAGCGTTGTTTTTCCTTCTTTTTCGCTAAAATACCGAAATTTCCTCGAGGCCATTGACAAGTGAGAACATCATTTTTTTTATGCTTCTTATAATCTATACATAAACAATCTTATAAAAAAAGAACTATGTTCTGCACGTTTTTGGTTCATTTTTGACAGTATTCGCTCCAAGGCCTTAGATACCCTCATGAAGGATCTCAAAGTTTATGCTGAAGGTAATGAGGAGCTGTTCAAAGAAATGCATCAAATGTGTATGGGTTCAATCCAACAGGGATCATAAGGCACTCTCTATGTGTGGAGATATAGGGCCCGTCCGGTAACGTTTTTAGAGAATGTTTTCTTAGAATATTTTCAGAGAATGAAAACAAGAAAACGAATTTGCATTTTCAAGAAATGAAAATGCGTTTGGTAGATTAATTAGAAAACATCTTCAGAAAACAAAAACAATGAAAACGTGTCTGGTAGTACAATTTGAAATAATAATATGTGAGTTCTTTTTATGAAAATGTTTCCCATGAGAATGAAAACAACTTTTTTCTGTTTTCTACAAGTACACATGAACTTGTTTTCATTTTATGAAAACATTGTCAGTGTTTTCTGTTTTTGGGCTACTGAACGTGTTTTTGCCTCATTTTTGTTTTCTGAAAATGAAAACAACCCCTTAAAACATTACCAAATGGAGCCATAATGTCTATGACGAAGACTATCATGAAGGAAAATGCTAGATCATTATTCATTATTATATAAATAAGGTACAACAAGCACCATATATGTATCTCTTCAATATGATTGATATATTTGCCAATGATCCTCGTACAACAACTTGTATAAGAATTGAAGAAATATTATTACATAACATTCTATAGTACTATTGGGTACTATATTTTCACATCAGAAAAATACTAAGATACAAATTCAAAAAAATCATTGGTCTTATCATCAACCCCGAGGGTCTTGCCATCTGTTGGTACTAAGCAATGAATCCCATCCTTTATCTACAATTAAGAATCATACAAGACATCAACTATAAATGCAAAACCATATAGAAAAGATGAAATTTTTGATGGTCATTCGTGTTAAGCTCAACACATGACCTCTATCAAATACAAGGGCATTATCAATTCTCACAAGAACAAGGACATTCTTCATGCTGTTCTCTGAGTTGTAAGTGACATGTTGCAGGACATTCATTGGAGACGTGCTGCAGAGAAGGATTCGATCAACTGATATGTTGTTTGGCACATTCGAATCATGATCCACTGGGGAAACAACAG